AATTTAAACTCATGGGAACCAGGATTTTGTCCCCATAAGGAGCAATGACTCCTCACAAGGCTGAGTGCCGGAAAAAAGTTCCCAATCGTCCCCACAGGGTAACAAATACATCAGGCGTGTCCAAACATTTTGTCACATGGGCCAAAATCATAAAGTCAGAAGGACCTGAGGGCCAAAAATATTTTTCCTTTACCTGCTCAACAATAAACTAAACATTGAATACTTTAACTAAACAAATAAAGTAGTCAGATTTATTGCTGGAAATGGATGTAAATTAATGAAGATCCAGAAGTTTAAAAGTGTTTTGCAGGATTTTCTTGTTGAAAGAAATTTTGCAATTTTCTAGGTTTCAATTGGGGAAAAAAATAACCCAATTTAGTCAATTCTGATCAATAAAATCAGGATTTAAGTCACTCTTTTGTTGAAAATGCTTGCTGTATTCAGACAGATTTAATAAATTAATTAAAAGCAGATTGGAGTGCAGCAAAATCAGCTTTTCAGTAGAAATCACTAAAGCTAAGAGTCTGGTTATTTAAAGACAAACAATTGGTTTTGTTGCCAATATTTGTTATTATAAGATTTTACTTTGTGATAAATTATCCCTGATAAAAAATAGAAAGTCTCCATCTACATCAGACACCTGCCGGGGGACAAATTTGTAAACAAATTAGTATAATTCTTGAACTGAAGTCGGGCCACAAATGGCCCCCGGGCCACACTTTGGACATCGCTGTTTTAGCAGAATTGACCCCATGGTGGAGGTTTGCACTCTCTGAGTGCTTCTAGCTTTCTTTGTTTTGCATTCAGTGATTAAAACACAGACATGTCACTGACTTGAGGAAGACCCCCTTGCTGTGGTTGCGGATCTCCCGGTGCGTTGCCCACGGCTGCAGGGTCATCCTCCGAGGGTGCAGCCCCTCGGACTGAAACAGCTCGCTGACGTCAGATGGCATCAAGATGTTCACACTGCTGAGAGTTCCCACCTTCTCCCTTCAAACAGACACACAGCTGTAAGCCTGGATGTGCTTCATATTGGAGGAGAAATCATGTTTTCTACCTGTAGATGGGGCCGAGGGTGTTGAAGGTCCCCTCCATGTGTTTGTGGAGCTGCTGGAAACGATTTTCCCTCCAGAACTTCAGCAGGTTGATCCAACCGTTCCTCCCCGTGTGGGGGATCTCCTCGAAGCGGCGCACCCGTCCATCCACGCCCCTCTTCCTGACCGCTTTCACCGCTCCTTTGCTCCCATCTACGTTCCCGTCCACGATGGTCCCAGCGGCGGTCACGCAGAGGCCGCTTTGTGGTGCAACGCCTAAAACCCTGGACCCACAAGTGCCCGGTGCTCTGACGCCCACAGTGGAAACTTTCCTCATGGTCCAAAACGAGATGTTGTCGGTCCGTCTCGTCCAGAGATGTGACACATGCTGCCATGGGTCGGATTATTTCTCTGCCTTTGCATCCAACCGCACGCAGAGCCTTGGCTGAGCGTTATCGCTCCGATGAACTGATGGATGATGATTTATGAATCATGACGGTCAGAGTTCAAGAGAACGAAAACAGAGCCAGAATGTCAGGATGATCCAACACACACAATCTGATACAGCTATCTTTATGAGGACCTGGCATTGACTTCCATTATTTTCTACAGTCTAACCCTGACCACCCACCCTAAGGCTAACCTCACAGGACCTGACCCTAAAACTAACCTAAACTGAACCCCTGACCCACCAACGGTGTTCCCCTTAAGGAGACTAGACTCAGGTCCCCATAAGTAAAATTAGGTCCCCAAACGTAGGTGTGTATGCCAAAAATAAACTGTCCCACAACATAGGGAATACCAGCACACACACACACAGTCCATGTTCTTCTATCCTCATAGAGACTTGACACTGGCTTCCGTTGATTTTCAGGTCATTTCTATAGCTTGAACCATTACCCTAAACCAGAGGTTCTCAAACTGGGGTCCCAGGACCCCCAGGGTTCCATGAGAGGTGTCTTGGGGGTCCTCAAAAAAATTGACTAAATTGTTTATTTGGTTTTTATTTTTAAAAATGCACGTGGAGCAATGAACTAATAAAACAAACACAAAAAAACTAAATAAAAATATATATTCTCATGGAATTTAGGGGTTGAAATGACAGTAAATTATCTTTTAAAACAGCATGGGGTTTATGGGGGGTCCCTGGAATTTTTATTTATTTTTTTGCCCTTATAAGGGGTCCCCAGACGCAAAAGGTTTGAGAATCCTTGCTCTAAACCTCACCATCCCAATAGTAACAAACCCTAAGTCTAACCCCCACCCACATACACACCTACTGTATAAATGGAAAACTAGCAGTGACAAATACTTGTGGACATTACGTGTTAATTTGACACGTAAATGACACGTAAATAACGCATCAACAACACGCTAAACCGTAAGGAAGTGAAGTTACCCAAAGGGACATAAACATACAAATTTGCGCCTCAAATAAGGTGCAAGCAACATGTAAAGTATGCGTTGTTGGTGCGTAGTTCACACATATTTTACATGCAGTTAACGCGTCAAAAATGTGTTAAATTGTGTTGTTTATGCGTTGTTGACGCATTATTTACACGTCATTTACGCGTCAAATGGACACTTAAAGTTCACGTAGATTTGTCACCACTGGCTTTCCATAAACACACACACACACACACACAAACACACACACACACACACACACACACACACACACACAC